GATCCTGATGAGTTGGAGAATTGGGAAAAAAGGACCTCAGCCTTTTTTTTGTGAACGAGAGTTCAGTCTTGTTCATAAGTTATATATTTTCATTAAACTGTTTCATTGATAAGTTTAATTTTCCTTTTGCTCATATTTGCTACAGTGATGGATTTGACAAAAAATAAAATCATTAGGGACCAGCAGTTAGTGTAATGGCTATGTTGCTGGACTCCCATGTAGTCGACCGCAGTTCAAGTCCTGGACCCGGTGACTTAAACTCACACTGTACGCATGTGCGTGCATGCCCAAGATCCCAAGAGAAAAATGGAGGAGAAGTGATTGTGGCATGGCCATCCCCCCTGGGGGGGTGATTTCTTGCTTTCTGTCTCTCTGTCTTTCTCTTTCTGGTGAGCACACGTGCCCTATAGCAAAAACCTTTCAAACAAACAAACAAACAAAAATCATTAAATACTGCTTTTAAATATATGGAGAGGGGGAAAAAGGCCACTAGTACTGGGACTCCTTTTTTTAGTTTTCTGCACTTATTTAGGCAACATCCTTTTAAAGGAGAGGATGTGAGAAAGAGAACATTAAGCAGAAAAAACAATATGAAAGATAGAAACAGCAAGGAAAAATGTCACCCATATTCCTTCCACCCAAACTTAGTCTTAACTTAGTCTTATGATTATTACGGACATTTGTCTGTAGTCCTCTCTGGTCTTCTTCTTTTTTTTTTTTTTTAAAGTTTATTTCTGATATGGAGTCTAAGTATATTCCAAAAAGCATATAGAACTTATATGTGGAGTTTAACAACTAGTTAAAAAGTAGTTGTCAATGTAACCACCACCCAGGACAGGAACTGAAACATGGCAGGGAGCTCCTACTTATCATGTCCCCTCTCCTCACTAAAGTCACCGCCATCTTGATTTTATAGGATCCAGTACATTTTTTTCTATTTTTATTTATTTATTGTCTTTTATTTTATTTTATTTTTTTTATTTTTTACTATAGAGTGCGTGTGCTTGCCAGAGAAGGACGGGGGGTGGGCAGGAATGAGAAATTACCCAACAGGGGGATGGCCATACCATAATCCCTTCTCCTCCTGTCTCCTCCTGGGATTTTGGGTACTCATGTACATGCACCTGGGGTGATTTTCAAGCCATCAGGTCTGGGACTTGAACCATACAGCCAGCTATGTGGGCTCCAGCACTTTAACCTCCACACCGCCTGCTCCCCACCAGTCCCTTTCTTTACTTGATAAATTTACCACCTGCACCATTGCCATCCATATTTGCATCCCTATGTCATACACTTAAACTGCTTTTTCGCTTAAAAATTAAAATGAAAAATTAATTTGCTAGGGGGCACTTAAGCTAACTGGAGAGAGCCAGAGAGAGCAGGAAAGTGAGAGCATCCCCTTTGAGGGATGATCATGCAGCAATCTCTCTCTTCCATTTCACTCTCCTTTTGGGATTTTGGGAATGCACGCACATGCACTGGGCATGTTTTTCAAGCCACCACCAGGTCTAAGACTCTAACCATCAACGTGGCCATGTGGGATACAGCAGATGCCATCCACTTCTTTAGGGACATACCTGGGAGTATAGTAAGTAGTCTTAAGTATGAGTTGTATTCATATTTAAATATTTTAACATATTCTAAGTGGTTTTTCCATGATTTCACATGTTACCCATCATTTTAATGGACAAATGATAGTTCATTTGTGACTGAGTCATTGTTTAACCAGTCTCCTATTATTGCTTCTATTTTTTTTTTTTCTATAATAAAAATGACACAGTGGATCTGATTGGTGATCACATGCATGTGTTCATTTTGTAATCTCATTAAGTGTATGTCTGTTTGCTATGGCTTCTTCACTTACAATTTCTCCACTCTTCTGTACGCATAATATACTCCAATGAGAGGAGCTGACTTGGCCCAGCTGCAGGGGCACAGGCAATATCGTGCTGCTTTGCAGTGTTGGAAACTGCATGGCCAACCACCAGAGTGAATCCTGGCTCAGTCTGAAACAGCCTGGTGTACTTGCCCCAGTCTCAGCCTGATGAGACATGCAGGAGTACTGGGCTCGCTTTCCTTCTCTCTCTCTCTCTCTTTTTCTCTCATGAAATAAAGAAATAAAAATTCTTTTTTTCAAAGGATGTGGTGATAGGGGAGGGGCAAATAGGCTACAATGAACATTTTCAAGCAAAATCTTTTTAATTTAGTGTGTCATTAGTATAGATGACTTGAAGGGGAATTACATAGTTAAAGGGTACAGCAATCATGTTATATAGCCTTTTCTTTTATAATAAGTTATTCCTCTAACATTTCTAATTTTTTTTGAGAGATTTTTGCTATAGGGTGAGTGTGCTCACCGTAGAGACAGAGAGAGAGAGACAGAAAGCAAGACATCACTTGCTGGCAGGATGGCCACACTGCAATCCCTTCTCCTTTATTCTTCTCTAAGAATTGTGGGCATGCAAATACTCACACCTGGTGTGAGTCTCAAACCTCTGGATCTGAGACTTGAACCGTGGTTGCCTACATGGGAATCCAGCTATGTAACCATTATGCCATCTGCTGGTCCCCTAATTTTTCTTTAAATGTGATATAAAAATCTTAAAACTTATGCTGCTTAACAAAAACAGATACACAATCTCATGAGTCACAAAGAGAGTTACATAGAGAGATTTTATTTTTGCCAGGGAAGATACAAAGCATTTGTTTAAAATAATTTTTAGAGAGTTATTTCTTTAAAAAGCCTGGTGAATGCTTGCCCTGCCAGGAAAACCCTAGAATGTAGCTTCATCTTTCTGTTAAATGTTCAGCTTTTAGCTCTACAGTTCTGTGATAAATTGAAATTAAAGTGTCATATTTTCCGGAGTCCACTCCTCCACAGCTGCTTCCTGTTTTCCCTCGAAGGTAATTGCAGAGTTTCTCTATGTAGACTCCCTGCCCCTTTGCTTCCCACATTACCTATCATCCAATAAAACCTTTTAACGTGCTTTGACACAGGAACTAAGGTTGCCAAGAGACCACCTGTGCTGAATGCACTTTGTTCCAGCAAGTGCAGACGGAGAGAAGACTGAGAAGCAGTGTTATCTGCTGCTACCTGGGATTAATTCAGGTGAGAAAGGGCTCTCTACGCACTCGTCAGTCCCCAGCACCTGTTTCCGCTCCTCCTCCTCCTTATTCCAGTCAATCACTTACTAATTTTGGAGTGCGTTGAAGGTACTCCTGGAAGCACAGGCTGAAAAAAACACAAGCTGGAGGCTGAGGCTGAGGCTGCAGGAGGGAAGCAGTCACTGCAAACCAGCAATGATGGTGTTATTTTTGCCCATCATTGCTGAAACCCAGGCAAAAGGAACTGTTGAGTGGAGGGAAAAGTCTAGGTGACTACTTTGCCGATGGTTGCTGTGTAATTTGGAGCAAATTATGATAGAAATCTATCTAGGCTGCTCCAAGTGGAGAAGGAAACGCTGACACAAATCCTTGTGGCCTCCTTTCTTCTTCCTTCCCTCTGAATATTCAAGCTGCCTTTTTGATTTTTGAGTGAAAATAGCAGATAAAATATTTTACTATCCAAATCATGCCCCATCGTTGATGTTTTCTCTTCAAAGAATTATTTCCTTAATTTTATTTATTTTGTTATCATATTTTTAAAATTTTGACCAGAGAGAAGCACAGATAGAGAGAGAGGGAAAGTGAGAAGGCAAGCCACTAGATCCGGGAATCAAATTGTGGTCGGCCATGGGGGAGTCCAACGCCTTAACCACCACACCACCTGCAGGCTTCTTGATGCTTAAGTGGAGCGTATATGAAGAACTTCGGTGTAAGGCTTTGAAGATGATTTGTCCTTGCATTCCCTGACAAGGAGTTAAGAATGGTTTTGAACTCTTTACCTGACGTTTGATAAAATGTTCCAACAGTGTCAAAAGTGGACTACAAATTAATACCTTTTTAAATTCCAGCTATGAAAAACAGCTTGTTTTATTAACAAAGACATGTGGAGTAAATTAAATGTTTGATGTCTTAGTGACGAAATCGTAAGAGGATCTTAAAGACAAAACCAATCTTTTTGTTTACTTTTTATTGTCATTGCCTGATTTTTCTCATGCCTTCAAATTCTCATTTTTCTGGTAATGCCAATTATACAGGTTAGAGGAATGACAACCTCACCAAAGCCTTTAAAAAGATTTTAAAGGACTGGGAACCAGCAGTTAGCGTAATGGCTATGTCGCTGGACTCCCACGTAGTTGACCGCGGTTTGCGTCCTGGACCCGGTGGCTTAAAACTCACGCCGGGCATGTGTGCATGCGTGCCCAAGATCCCAGAGGAGAATGGAGGAGAAGGCATTGCGGTGTGGCCATCCCCCCTGGGGGGTGATTTCTTGTTTTCTGTCTCTATGTCTCTCTCTGTCTGGCAAACGCACGCACCCTATAGCAAAAAAAAAAAAAAAAAAAAGATTTTAAAGGACTGAAGATATTCTATAGATAAAGTCATTACTGAAAAGAGAATGGTAAGTATAAAAGTCCCTTGAGCTATTTCTCCTAGAAGGCAATTTTGGTATATAGAAAACCTGTGATTGTGACAGTAAGTAGGCAAAGGGAGTAAGAGAAAAATATTTTAGTCCATCAGGGGGACGGAGATTTTAGTTCATAGATTGATTTGCAAATAAGTACAGTTTATTCCTTAGAAGATTGATCTTCACTTTTTTTCTCTTATACTGTCAATATTAAAGTTGAATGACTGGGGGGGGCGGCAAGTGGCATGGTGGTTAAAGGTGCTGGACTCCCACATGGCCTACCACGGTTCAAGTCTCGGACCTGGTGGCTTGATTTCTCACTTCCTCTCTCTCTCTCTCTGTCTCTGATCAAACTGAAAAATAATAATGATAATAATAATAAATAAAATAATTCTTTAAAAAAAAAGTTGAACGACTCAGGATTGTAAATGTGTTCATTTGAGGATATTTTTCTCTTTTTTTTTTTCCCCTAGGGAGCAAAAGTATTCTGGATATGACTAGTAAAAACTGGATATTAATTTCTACAACTACTCCTAAAAGTCTGGAAGATGAGATTTTGGGAAGACTTCTGAAGATTTTGTTTGTTATCTTTGTTGACTTAATGTCTATTATGTATGTTGTTATAACTTCTTAGAAAGCTTATTTCCTTTACATGTAAATTTCAAATTGAGTTTCAGTGAATAAAAATTTGTATTTTAATTGTGAGTATTTTCTTTTCTTTTTAGATTTTTTTTTTAGCTTTTGGTGTGTGCACTCGTGAGAGAAAGAGAGACAGTGAGAGAGAAAGTAAGGAAACCCCCAGGGAAGATGGTCATAACACAGTCCCTTCTCCTTCATTCTCCTCTCAGAATTTTGGGCATGCACATGATTTTCAAGCTGCCAGGTCCAGGACTTGAACCATGGTTGGCCAATTAGAAGTTCAGCGCCTTAACCACCATGCCACCTGCTGACCCCAGTGAGGTGTTTTTAGTTTGATGGCATTACTAACTTAATCTAAAAGCCAAAGGACATTACAATAAAAACATTGTGTATTGTTTAGTATCCTATGAAACATTCACATAAATTGAAGTGGATTTTTTTCTGCAAGAAATTGACACTATTGAATCATGAAACTTGTTTAACAAAGTTGTTATTTGGTGTATTGACTAAAATTTGTAGGTGAAATTATGAGTGAGGTTGAATTTTATAGGACGTATACCTATATGTCATTCTTTTGTTTACACATCAAGCTTAACATCTAAGGAGCATAATATTTAAATACAATAGACAATACTTGATTCCCATTTTCTCTTCTTTTTTCTTTCTTTTTTTTTTTTTTTATGAGAGAGAGATTTGCTATACAGGGCATGTGCCAGAGAGACAGAGAGACAGAAAGCGAGAAATCACCCCCCCCGGGAGGATGGCTATGCTGCAATCCCTTCTTCTCCATTCTCCTCTCAGGATCTTGGGTACATGCACACATGCACCCGGTGTGAGTTTAAGTTGCCGGGTCTGATACTCAAACCACAGTCGACTATGTGAGACTCCAGTAACGTAACCATTACACCATCTGCTGGTCTCCATCCTCATTTTCTTATACACATATTTCATCTGTTGGTAGGCATATTGTTTTTTTTAACTCTGGGCAATAAAGTAAGTGAAAGATATTTCTACCAATGAAGACTTAGAATTAGAAATGAAAATACTTAAAAGAGATTCTTTTGGGAAAAAGGCATTTGTAAGAAAAGAAGAGAGAACAGGGTATAACCTGTGTTGATTTCCTATCTGGAAATAAATGCTCACTGTATGTCATTTAATGTAGGGCTTATAAAAACTTAGGGGGTGGGTGTTTGTTGTCCCCATTTTACAGATGAAAAAACTGGAAGAATTATGCCAACTCCAGGCCTTAACTATGACATGGCAGAAGTGGATCTTCATAATTCATAATATCATGCTACCTCAGAAGGTAAATAACAATACAATAGGGAAAGGGTAGTTAAAAGTGAATGTGGGGACCAGCAGTTGACATAATGACTGTGTCGCTGGACTCCCATGTAATCAACCATGGTTCGAGTCCTGGAAACTGATGTTGGGCTCATGTGTATGCGTGGCCAAGATCCCAAGAGGAAAATGGAGGAGAAGGGATTGTGGGATGGCCATTCCCCCTGGGGGGTGATTTCTTGCTTTCTGTCTCTCTCTGTCTTTCTGGTGAGTGCACAAGCCCTATAGCAAAAAAGTCTCCAAAAAAAAAAAGTTAATCTGTAAAAAATCAACTTGTTTTTTAAAATAATATTTTGAGAGATTTTTGCTATAAGGTACATGCACTCACCAGAGAGACAGAGAGATACAGAGACAGAAAGTGAGAAATCACCTCCCTGGGTATGGATGGCTATACCTCAATCCTTTCTCTTCCATTCTTCTCTCAGGATTTTGGGCACTCATGTACCTGTGTCTGGTGTGAGTTTCAAGCTACTGGGTCTGAGACTCAAACCATGGTCAGCCATGTGGGAGTCCAGCACCTTAATCACTATACCATCTGCTGGCCCCTGCAATCATGTTTTATTCAAGTCCCTATTTCTTAGGGGGAAGAAAGAGCAAGTTCATCCCTTAATCATATTCAACTTGACAATACCTTCTCTTCCCTTGTTTTCTTAATTCCCTCATTTGCTGACAGTCAGTGTTAAAATGTAACTGTTGACTTGCTTTTTAAGTTTTTGAAAAACAAAGATCTTTCTGTCCTTCAGATTTTTTTGAGTTCTCCCATGCGATGCACGTACTTGACAAAATTTCGATTTTGTCCATGTAGTGACTATTTTCTCCAATTTATACTAATCATTAATGGAAGGTTTCAGAAGAGACCTAATGAACTGTGAAAGGAATCCAGACCTTTGAGACCTATTCCTTAACTGACTCTTCCTTAACCTTTCCATGGTGTTGTATATTTAACCGAAGAGTCAAACAGAACATTAATTGAAACCATAAGAGAGAATCCTCTTCTTTTTCTACCCTGTGCAGTCCCACACTGTGTAGTGACGTGGCTGCCAACGAAGGACCACGTATGTGGCAGTGCAGCGGTAGGCTATAGCACAAGGCCTAGGGGTAAGCAGGCCCCACCACCTCGGTTTGTGTAAGTGCACTCTACCATGTTTGCACAATGACAAAGTTGCCTCACAGTGAGTTTCTCAGGTTGTTTACCCATTGTTAAATAATAAATGGTTATATTTTTAGACTCTTTCTTTTGGATACAGAGGCCTCCTCCTGTTGTGGATGTCTTCCAACCTGCTTTAGTTGAGATGTGTCAGAGCCTATTATCAGGTTATTGACAGATAAAGGTCACATCTCAGGCAACACCCCAACTCCTCAAGCTTGGGGCTTCTAGGCAGTAGGCCACATGATTAGAAGCATCAACTCTGAAGCCAGACTGTCTGGGTCCAAGTTCTGGCTTCATCTCTTATAGCTTGGTAACCTTCTGTTTCAGTTTCATTACTTATTTTTTTTTTTTAATTTTATTTATTTATTTTTGGAGGGGTTTTTGCTATAGGGCATGTGCGCTCTCCAGAAAGACAGAGAGAGAGAGAGACAGAGAGATGGAAAGCAAGAAATACCCCCCTCCAACTACCCCCCAACCCAGGTAGAATGGCCGTGCTGCAATCCCTTCTCCTCCATTCTCTCAGGATCTTGGGCACACTTGCACACGTGCCTGGCGTGAGTTTAAGCCACCAGGTCTGGGACTCAAACTGTGGTCAACTACATGGGAGTCCAGCAACATAGCCATTATGCCAACTGCTGGTCCCTCAGCTTCATTACTTAGAGAATGAATGATTGTGTCAAAGATTTGTAGAGAGGATGAAATAGGATGACTAATGTAAAGTACTTAATACAAAGCTTGGCATATGAGAAAATATCAAGAACAATAGATTGTTGCCATCACTGGGATGGGAACAGAAATGAGGTGGTTCCCTTCAGATTGAGGGTTGGTCACCCTGCCTTCCTACACTTCTCCTTACACTTAGAATGACTTCACATTAACCCATCCCATTGGCCCAAGGATGTGATTGTGTTCCACTGGAACCTATGAATCAATCTGTTGCAGTCATTGGTCATACTGGTTGACTCCGCAGGTCTCCTTTCTTGTTGTTTTGGGACCTGGCAATTATAACTAGGTATCATAATGAAACCTAAAACAAGAAGAGATACATGATATGCATCCTTTTTTCACCAAGAAATAGGTCGATTTTTAAAATTATTTAATTTTATTTAGTCATTTATTTATTGTAATTTGACCAGAGAGAGACAGAGAGAGAAAGAGAAAGTGAGAAAGCAAGCCACCAGGTCTAAGACGTGAAACATGGTTGACCATGTAGTAGTGTCCAGCACCTTAACCACCCTGCCACCTGCTGGTCCCAAAAAATAGGTCTTTTTTTTTTAAAGAATATTTTTAAAACAATTATTTAACTTTATTTTTAATTATCATTTTAAATTTGAACAGAGAGAGAGAGAGAAAGGCAAAGTCAGAAAGCAAGCTGCCAGGTCCAGGACTTGAACTGTGTTTGGCCATATGGGAGTCTAGCACCCTTACCACCATACCACCTGCTGGCTCCAAGAGCTAGGTCTTCATATGAAGTATTGTGGTTTAGTAATTGGAAATAGGTCATTTTTCCTTCACCATTAAAAATATTCATTCAGTTCCTTTTTAACAGGTGTGGTAATGGGAAGCCAGGTCGAAGTAGTAAACAAAACAGTTCCTGCTCTCATGGAGTTCACAGTCTAGTGGGGAAAATGGATAAATACCCGAATGGTATAATTACAGTTGGAAAAGTATCAGGAAGAATATGACCAGTTTGTGAGGAAACATACCGTGACCAATGTGTCAAGGACTCTCGCAGCAGCCAGTTCTGAGAGCTTAGTGGATATGCAGAACCTGAGTACTCCTGAGATGTGCTGAACTCAGAGTCTGCAGTGTAATGAGGTCCACAGTGATTCACATGCATATCGTGGTTTGAGAAATCCTGGAATCTCACTGGACAAAGTGTTCCTGCATCTTGTTCCTCTGGCTACTGCATTGCTATGTGATCCTTGGGCAAGTTGCTTAACCTCTCTGGGTCTCATACACCTCTTGCTTTCAAATAAAGAGACAAACTAACCAAAATAGCATTAATACTGTTTTGCATGTTACATAGAGCTATTGTGAATGTTAAATGAACTAGACTGAAACTTACATGAAAATGCATAACAGAAAGGAGTCATACAAGCCTCAGACATTGCTGTAATCAGCCAGAAGACAGGAGTTGCTCTGTGAAGTAAGGGACCTACGTTTCCCTTTTGTAACATGAAAAACAATTGTTTTCGTAAATTAGAACAATATCTATGGCACATGCATATATGTATATATAGATAGATCGATATATATATATATATTTTTTTGATATAGATCTCTCTCTCTCTCTCTCTCTCTCTCTATATATATATATATATATATATATATATACACAAGAAGTTTCAATTACATAAAAAGTTTTT